AGCTGGCGCCGCCACTTGGCGGGAAAAACACCCGGGAAAAGGAAGCTAATTATTAAGAATATTATTATTATTATTATTATTATTATTATTATTACAGTGTATGTTTAAATAACATACAGTGTAATAATAAATACTGATAAAATACTGATAATCTTGATAATAAAATATCAAATTAAGCGCTAAACCCTAAAGGATCAGTGCTACAGGTAGAAATGTGTGAAAGGAGGAATGTATAAGTTGATAATAACATAACCAAATTAAACACTAAACCCAAGGGGTCATAGAGTGTAAAAGGGATAAGGGAGTGGAGGGCAGGAGTGCACGAGGGGGGTTAGTGGGGGGGTTAGTGGGGGGTTAGTGGGGGGTTAGTGGGAAAGGCAAAAGGAACAGTAAAATTACAATAGGTGTAATTAAATAATTATGTATTAAAAAATTCAGTCTGCATCAATGGTGGGACTTTCAGCCAGGAGGCCAGTTAGAGTGCTTGTAGGCACCAGAGATGATGCAGGGATATTCTTTGCCTGCTGAGAGGCTGGACAGTTTACTAAGATATGTAAGTACAGGTGCATGTAAGTACAATTACCATACATAGTAACATGTGTGTAAATTACCCAGGATAACCCCAAAAACAGAGTGACTTATTTGCTTCGGGGTCCCTGAACTGAGAGTGCAACAAACCCGGCAGTCCTCGCAAAGCAGTGTCAGGGTATTTTATCATGATGTGTCTGAGAGTCATGTGTGTGACCCATATCTACACAGACAAGAGAGTGCAAGTGAGTCTTGTGAACTATACCTGCACAGGAGAGTGCACTCTCTAGCATAATGCAGAAAAAATTAACTAGAAAAGGGATAACTTGAGCGTACTCTCTTGTTATCTTATTAGCACCTTTAAAGTGGATAATAATTTGTTTTTCTTCCTTCCAAGGTTTTCCTTCATAACTTAACGATACCTCGTCTGAGTGGCTTCAAATTTTCGGTGATGGTTTATTGTAAACAGACTACTTTTAATTTTTGGAATTTGTGTGTTATTACAATCATAAGCGCTAAACCCAAAGGGTCATACAACGCTTATGGAATCTGTGTAATACCTGGGGAAAATATCTTCTGATTGGGCTCAGTTTTTCCATACTGATGAATCGTACTTAGTAGGACGAGATTATTTTTTGGAGTGTATAAGAGCCAATTTTATTCATAAAATAGTGTGGTATTTTTTCCATTAAATTACTTGCGTAAGCCTCTTCTGTGCAGTTTTAATCTTTTGAACTTTAATAAACAGGTAAGGCAGCAGGTAGATAAGTAGTCAGGTAGGTATACCTGGAGGGTGTTGAGGGGGTCAACGCCCCCGCTGCCCGGTCCATGACCAGGCCTCGTGGTAGATCAGGGCCTGATCAATCAGGTTGTTACTGGCGGTTTTAATATTAGGTAAGCAGACAGGTATTTAAGCAAGCAGGTAAGAGATTTTTCATTAAAGGTTTTTGGCTTTTGTCCTTTTGATATATTAACTTGTCAAGTGTGTTTTCTATGCACAATATCCCCCTCCCCCCCCCTCCTACAGGTAGATGCCAGAAATCAGTCAAAACTTACAAATTTATTGTCCACGTCAGCCCAAATCCAGAATGTTGTTTACAAAGCAGTTTACATATCAATATCTTTTATTTAATATTTGTTGGCACTTAGGTGGTGGAGCAGTGTGGGCTGAGTGCCAGTGTGGGCTGAGTGCCAGTGTGTGTGTGTGTGTGGAGACACAGAATGCTGAGGTACACTGACCTAGCCTTGGCACTCTCCTAACATCACTAACTTTACATACACTTTCTTGTATTGAAACACTGTGCTGGTAAATTGTGTCACCTCCAGTGTCTAGTATACAGTGGAGGAGTGATGCAAGCATCACTCCACTGTTATAGGGTTTAGGGTGGAGTACAGAGGTGGTGGGGTGAGGGGGGGGTTGTGATGTGGGGCTCAGTGGTATTGCACTGGATGGGTGGGGTGGTGGGGGTAGTGTGAGGTTACAGGGGTAGGGACATAGTTTTTGCCTGTGTGGGTTTTGATAATGGAGTGGAGGGATAGGGGGTGTGGTGTTTGCCTGGGTGGATGGTGGTGGGATGGGTGAGTGGGTGGTGTGGGGGTGGGTGAGTTGGTGGAGGTGTGTGGGGTGGGTGGGGTAGTGGGTGGGGGTGGGAGAGTGAGTTGTGTGGGGGTGGGCGAGTGAGTGAGTGGGTGGTGGTGTGGGGGTGGGCGAGTGAGTGGGTGGTGGTGAGGGTGGGCGAGTGAGTGGGTGGTGGTGTGGGGGTGGGCGAGTGAGTGGATGGTGGTGTGGGGGTGGGCGAGTGAGTGGGTGGTGGTGGGGGTGGGCGAGTGAGTGGGTGGTGGTGTGGGGGTGGGCGAGTGAGTGGGTGGTGGTGTGGGAGTGGGTGGTGGTGTGGGGGTGGGCGAGTGAGTGGGTGGTGGTGTGGGGGTGGACGAGTGGTGGTGGTGTGTGGGGGGTGGGCGAGTGAGTGGGTGGTGGTGTGGGGGTGGACGAGTGAGTGGGTTGGTGGGTGTGGGGGGTGGGCGTAGGTGAGTGGGTGGTGGTGTGGGGGTGGACGAGTGAGTGGGTGGTGGTGTGGGGGTGGGCGAGTGAGTGGGTGGTGGTGTGGGGGTGGACGAGTGAGTGGGTGGTGGTGTGGGGTGGACGGGGTGGGTGGTGGTGAGTGGGAGTGGCGAGTGAGTGGGTGGGTGTGGGGGTGGACGAGTGAGTGGGTGGTGGTGTGGGGGTGGACGAGTGAGTGGGTGGTGGTGTGGGAGTGGGCGAGTGAGTGGGTGGAGGTGTGGGGGTGGACGAGTGAGTGGGTGGTGGTGTGGGGGTGGACGAGTGAGTGGGTGGTGGTGTGGGGAGTGGGCGAGTGAGTGGGTGGAGGTGTGGGGGTGGACGAGTGAGTGGGTGGTGGAATGGTGTGGGGGTGGACGAGTGAGTGGGTGGTGGTGTGGGAGTGGGCGAGTGAGTGGGTGGAGGTGTGGGGGTGGACGAGTGAGTGGGTGGTGGTGTGGGGGTGGACGAGTGAGTGGGTGGTGGTGTGGGAGTGGGCGAGTGAGTGGGTGGAGGTGTGGGGGTGGACGAGTGAGTGGGTGGTGGTGTGGGAGTGGGCGAGTGAGTGGGTGGAGGTGTGGGGGTTGTTGAATGGAGAGGTGAGAGCGTGGTGTATTATCTAAGGAAGGAATGGGGGGAGCATAATGTGTTCTTTAATTTGAGTGAAAGGTGAATCATGGTGGTCTTCATGAGAGGGTTAGAGGCAGAGTGGTTTATACAGAAGGGTTAGGGGCACTGCATGAAAAATAAACCACAGAACTAGCGGGGTTTAAGTCCACAGCAAGTGAGTTCTAAAACTCGCAGGTTAGTGTGCTAACCACTAGCCTGTACGTTTTAGGCCTAGCTTGCCATATGTTCAAGTTCTGTATGTTCTGTGATTTGTTTGCATGGGGATCAACAACATCCAATCACCTAAAACCCCTAATAACCCAGCAAAAGGTAACAGTAAGAATGATAACAAATTCCCACTCCTGCCAGCATACTCCACCAATTTTCAAAAGTCTGAATCTGCTCACCATTAAGAACATCCATACTTATGCATGTGCCTACTACATACACAGAACAATACACACAAATATAAACCCTCCACTCAAACTTCTCCTCACCAACCTAAACAGGACACATGACCACAACACAAGACACAGATCTCTTTTTGATATACCTCGTGCCCATATCACACTGTAAAAACTATGTACATAAACGGCCCCAAAATATGGAATTCATTACCAGAAGATATTAAAGTAACCCAGTCTGAAAATCAATTTAAGACTTCTCAAAAGCCACTTAATCACCCTAGACTAAACGTTAAATACTCATTACACACTTACTTATATACTTCCACATCATAACTTCAACCTTTCATCCATTGTTGACAGGAACATAATTGAATGTTTGTTTTCACAAAAAGCATTTTCGAATATGAATATATCTTTTGTCTTATGCAAATTTCGATTCATTTATAATTAATAATCTACTGTACAACTATGAAATAATTACTATCCTACTGTACAATTATGATATAATCCTTAGTGTTAAGTAGACTGTAACCCAATAATCTTAAGTTGCCCCATAATATTGCAACCCACTATTGTATATCCCGTAAAGGGTCCAAGAGATCTACGTTCACGTGTAGTGCCACAAACGTAGATCTACTTTTTTTGCATATTTTCAAATGTAACAAAAAAAAAGTAGATCAAAGTTTTTTTTACACATTTTCAAATGTAAAAAAACAAAAAGATCTACTTTTTTTACATACTTTCAAATATTGAAAAAACGTATATATACGTTTGGACCGTTTACGGGATATACACAATCTCAATGTACTGTTTGCAAAGACATAAAATAAATAAATAAATGCTACTATGGTTTTGCGAGTCAAAATTGTGTGGCATGTTGGTACACAATAAAATCGCGATGTGATCTTCAAGTGAGAGGTGGGGAATGGTTTGACCTATAGATTAGAGGTCAGATGCAACCTTAGTTACCCATGTGCTGTTAATTGACTTTAAAATTACAGGCAAATTGTAAATTAAATTACATTAAATTTTTTATTTCTTTTCATAATATACAATGTGTAATTTGAATTATAAAATATTGTTAAATACCAAAAAGGCCACTAACATTCCTGAGCATTTCAGGCAAACTAATTCTAATGTTTACACACTACTTAAAACTAGACATAGGATATGGAGTGGTGAATTTTAATTTTTCATTATTTTACATTATTATAAAAGAGAGAGAGCCAAAAATTTTATAATTACTGTAATAAGATTTATAGTAGAGCAATAGTCTGAAGAAAGGTAGAAAGGTAGTCTGAAGATTGAAAACAGTGGCTGTATTATACTAAGTTTATTTAGGCACAGGTACATATAAGTACAATTATCATATACGTATACATATTGTAAAATACCCACATAACCCATTGTATCTTCAGGCGGCTTGTCGCCACGACTGCAGCTTCCTGGTGGAGGAGCAGAAAACTGCCTTTTTAGAAGTTGGTGGTTCCGAGGAGTGGCTGCAGGGTCTTCATTATGCACCCAAGAAACTGCAAGACCTTCATCACACTAACCTCATACTGGCCCACCAGCCCTGGCTTTATAACAAGCATCACGTACTGGTCAGTCCTTTCACTTGAAAATAAGAATGTTTATTTCCTTACAAAGCTTATATGGTGTGGTTTACATGTTATAAAATATTAATTACAAAGAAGGGCACTAGCATGCATTTATGCAACAAATATTGTAGTGGGATGATAAAACATATGCATATGGAGCTGTAATATCATCTCTGTTGCAAAGTACAGTGGACCCCCGGTTAACGATATTTTTTCACTCCAGAAGTATGTTCAGGTGCCAGTAGTGACCGAATTTGTTCCCATAAGGAATATTGTGAAGTAGATTAGTCCATTTCAGACCCCCAAACATACACGTACAAACGCACTTACATACACTTACATAATTGGTCGCATTCGGAGGTGATCGTTATGCGGGGGTCCACTGTACTCTGTTGGCAGAATAGTACAACCCCATTACTAACAGCTAAACACAAGTATACATGGAAAGAGTTGTATGGAGTCACATAATTAGTGATTTGGGTAGGTACTCTAGGAAATTAAGAAAAAAATATTTTAGAAATCACCTTATATTTTTAATGTAGTAGATTTATTAATTTAATGTTCTCTCTTCAGAAACTGGTAAAGAGTGGTTGGTCAGTTAGTGAAATAACACATGCCATATGCATAATGGCTCAGTTCCATGCACTCTCCTCATTTATTCATGGATGTGGTGTTGAGGCTACTTGCAGTGACCTACAGGTGCATTCGTCTCCCTTTGTACAGGTCTGTATTGTACAACTTGCTATGTTCCATTCAGTGTCTGAGTAAGATATTTATACATTTTTTTCAACAAACCGGCCATATCCCACCAAGGCAGGGTGGCCCAAAAAGAAAAACTAAAGTTTCTCTTTTTAAATTTAGTGATTTACAAGAGAAGGGGTTACTAGCCCCTTTCCCCCGGCATTTTAGTCGCCTCTTACAACACGAAGGCTTACGGAGGAAGAATTCTGTTCCACTTCCCCGTGGAGATAAGAGGAAATAAACAAGAAGAAGAACTAGAAAGAAAATAGAAGAAAACCCAGAGGGGTGTGTATATATATATATGCTTGTACAGGTATGTGTAGTGTGACCTAAGTGTAAGTAGAAGTAGCAAGACGTACCTGAAATCTTGCATGTTTATGAGACAGAAAAAAGGACACCAGCAATCCTACTATCATGTAAAACAATTACAGGCTTTTGTTTTTCACTCACCGTCCTGCCAAGTGAGTGTAAAACAAAAGCCTGTAATTGTTTTACACGATGCTAGGATTGCTGGTGTCCTTTTTCCTGTCTCATAAACATGCAAGATTTCAGGTACATATTGCTACTTCTACTTACACTTAGGTCACACTATACATACATATACAAGCACGTACATGTATATACACGCCCCTCTAGGTTTTCTGCTATTTTCTTTCTAGTTCTTGTTTTTGTTTATTTCCTCTTATCTCCATGGGGAAGTGGAACAGAATTCTTCCTCCGTAAGCCATGCGTGTTGTAAGAGGCAACTAAAATGCCGGGGGAAAGGGGCTAGTAATCCCTTCTCTTGTATAAATCACTAAATTTAAAAAGAGAAACTTTCGTTTTTGTTTTTGGACCACCCTGCCTTGGTGGGATATGGCTAGTTTGTTGAAAAAAAATATATATACAGACACATGCACATGAGATTAGAGGTCATATGATATAATATTTGGGAGAGTTGCTTCAAACTGATTAGAAGTTGGTTTGGTTAGTATCGAGAGATGAGATGATTTTTAAGCATAGCCCTAAATTCATATGTAGTCAGGGGATCCTTTATCGGTTCAGGTAGTGAATTCCAGATCTTCGGGCCCTTTATGTGCATTGCATTTTTGCATAGCGTGAGACTGACACGAGGGATGTTGAAGAGTGCCTTGTGTTGTGACTTTGTGTTCTGTTGATTATAAAGATGTAACCAGTAGTTAGAGAACTGTTTACAGCCCCAAGAGGAGAATGTCCAGTGAAAAATTTACCAGTTCCATGTCTGACTTTCTATGTTTACATCTTTGATACTTGTTCTGGAACTATAATCACTAAAGTTTTAGGCTTTCATGTGTACATCTGTATTTTTATTTACCCAGACAATTTAATATGAAATAAGGGCTTTTTTGATTTACTTACAGATGACAAAAACTTGAGCAATTTTATACCAGAAACCAGAAATATTTTTCAGTTCAAATATCGATTTAATTAATGATTTAGTTTTAAACCTCTCAAGGGAGGTTCTTTGATGCAGTTGAGGGGTCTCTTGTTCTAGGGAATTGGATCTTTGCTAAAGTTTACTGAATTGAGTCTGAATGTTGACCATATTCCCTCCCCTCCAGGTGCTGTATAATCCCTATGGGTTTAATGCTCCCCCATGATAACAGATTTTTAAGAGAGCAGGACAGATGCTGTCTCATTAATGACATAGTAGAATAAGGATGTAGTGGATAACGTTCATCCACACATTGTAATGCAGGATTCTCCCCGTTTTCCACAGGCTTGCTCATCAGGATCACCAAGTAGTCGAGAACTAAGTGAAGGAGGAGTTGATATACTCCTTGAACGTATGAGAACCCTCTCACTTGCTCAGTCTGACTACAATTGCATTTCTGAGGAATTAACAAGAGAAAGGTAAGTAATGAGACATGTGAATTATTTAAGCATAGTACACTGCATTACAGTACCACCTTTTTGGTGTTCCATATTTTCGTTAGCTTTAAATTGAGCCATTTTTCATTTTGTTCCACCCACTGGTCACTAGCGGGTGGAACAATGGTTCATTTGAAAGCAAATGAAAACGTGGAACACTGAAAACAGGCGGCTGTATATGCGGGGTCTTCCTATTCAAAATTTGTGGAAATGCTGATAAACTTTGTTCTATTAGATACAAATTAAAGAAAAATATCTTTAATTTAATACTGAGTAAATCTGATTTATTTGTTACTCTTTTAAGTTTGACATTTTACAAAGAATGACAAATAGATGGAAATTTTGTTTAAGATTGTGAAAAAAGCCTTGGATTTCTTTCTGCTCTCCAAGCAAACATTGGGGTTGTCAACTATCTGTGTACAGTACCTTAGGTACTAACTAACCAGCAAGTGTAGTTCATTAAATATCCTAACTTGGTGCTTCATTCTAGAATTTTTTTTCTTTTATTAACACATTGGCCATTTCCCACCAAGGCAGGGTGGCCCAATAAAGAAAAACTTTCACCATCATTCACTCCATAACTGTCTTGCCAGAGGTGCACTTACACTACAGTTATAAAACTGCAACATTAACACCCCTCCTTCAGAGTGCAGACACTGTACTTCCCATCTCCAGGACTCGAGTCCAGCCTGCCTGTTTCCCTGAATCCCTTCATAAATATTACCCTGCTCACACTCCAACAGCATGTCAGGTCCTAAAAAACATTTGTTTCCATTCGCTCCTATCTAACACACTCATGCATACTTGCTGGAAGTGCAAGCCCCTCGCACACAAAACTTCCTTTACCTCCTCCCTCCAATCTTTCCTAGGCTGACCTCTACCCTGCCTTCCCTCCACTACAGATTTATACACTCTCGAAGTCATTCTATTTCCATCCATCCTCTCTACATGCCCAAACTACTTCAACAACTCCTCCTCAGCCCTCTGGGTAATAGTTTTGGTAATCCTGCACCTCCACCTAATTTCCAAGCTAGGAATTCTCTGCATTATATTCACACCACACATTGCCTTCAGACACGACATCTCCATGGCCTCCAGCCTTCTCTTTGTCGCAACATTCACCACCCATGTTTTGCACCCATATAAGGGCGTTGGTATAATTATACTCTCATAAATTCCCCTCTTTGCTTCCATGGATAAAGTTCTTTGTCTCCACAGACTTCTCAATGCACCACTTACCTTTTTCCCCTCGTCAATTCTGTGATTCACCTCATCTTTCATAGACCTATCTGCTGACACGTCCACTCCTAAATATCTAAATACATGTACATTCGCCTCCTCCATAATCTCTCCCTCCAATCTGATATTCAAAAGCACAGTGTCATCAGAAAAGAGCAACTGTGACAACTCCCACTTTCTGTTAGATTCTTTATCTTTTAAACCCACACCTCTTGCCAACACCTGAGCATTCACTTCTCTTACAACCCCATCTGTAAATATATTGAACAACCATGGTGACATCACACATCCTTGTCTAAGGCCTACTTTTACTGGGAAATAATCTCCCTCTCTCCTACATACCCTAACCTGAGCCTCACTATCCTTGTAAAAACTCTTCACTGCTTTCAGTAACCTACCTCCTATTCCATATCTTTGCAACATCTGCTACATTGCCCCCCTATCCACCCTGTCATACGCTTTTTCCAAATCCATAAATGCCACAAAACCTCTTTACCCTTACCTAAATACTGTTCACCTATATGTTTCACTGTAAACACTTGGTCTACACACCCCTACCCTTTCTAAAGCCTCCTTGTTCATCTGCTATCCTATTCTCCGTCTTAATCTTAATTCTTTCAATAATAACCCTACCATACACTTTACCAGGTATACTCAACAGACTTCCTCCCCTATAATTTTTGCTCTCTCTTTTGTCCCCTTTGACTTTATACAAAGGAACTATGCACGCTCTCTGCCAATCCCTAGAAATGTGTGCATAATTTTAAAGAAATAATAACTTCATATATACTTTTACAGTTTTGAGAAACTTAAGAAGCAAACTGCAAACATTTCAACTCCTGAAGTTGAATGTACAAATGCTACTCACTCACGGTACAGCCACTTGTCACCAGATCCAGACTTCATGTATGTAGATTTTCACAAGAGAGGAGAGAAGACATCAGTCCCCACAGTGAAATCACAAGTAAGTTACAGCAAAATCTTGTTTTAATAGACTCGCAGGGAAAGGAGATGTCCATTATTGTAGACTGTGCATTAAATCCATGATTAGAACAGTAATGGGCAATTCTGGATTTAATGGACTTTGTCCTTTAAATCCAAAATCAGTTTACCCAGCAGTCTGTAACAATTATGGAGAATTCTATATTTAATGGATTTTGCCCATTGTTTTCTGATACTACTTGGACACAGGTTTTGTCCAATAAATCTGAAATTCATTTAATCAGGGGGTCCATTACATTGAGGTTTTACTTAAAAAATTTTGCTATGGCATGTACAAGAGGGTCCCACTTATACAGCAGGTTAGGTTCTGGGCTAATGCTATAAAGTGAAAATTGTTGTAAACTGAATTACAGCCTTTTCTTTCACTTTCAAATGCATATAAAAGCCTGATAACATTTTTACACTATCATATATTAAGTGAGAGCAATAGAGCTAGGCCTAAAAAATGCATATATAATACACACATTACTTACCTTCAAATATTTTCATTCGTAGCTTATAGTGAGTGGTGAATATATTTATTGTAGGAAGTCTGAATATATGAAGAATAGGTATACTAATTGAAAACCGCTGCATTAGTGAACCACCGTAAAGCGAAGCACTGTAAAGTGGGGGCCTGCCTGTACAGTACTGTATTTAAAATGTTTCTCAAGAGTTCTATTATCAATGAAATATCCAGGTTTGCTTGTTTCTTGAAAATATTTCATGTAGTAAAAATATATTTTTCCACAGGATTGTTCATGGGAGGAACATGGTTTCTCACTTGTCAGCGAATTGTACAATGAAGTTGGTGATCTGCTTGACGACAAGTTCAAAACTGCCTATAACATGACATACTACACTTGTGGCCACAAGACACATGTGGATACATTTCTCTTCCGGCAGGGTGTGTGGAATTATCTTCACTGTCTATACGGAATAAGGTAAATTATCCGGAAGTGTCTTGTAATTAACACTGAAGATTACTGATAATTTTTAAAATAATAAGCTATATTACACAAAATAACATGGGATTACATTTATAAATAGAATAAAACTGTCAGAAGAATGATTGATTCCAAAGCATAGTAGAAACCCCGTATCCACTGATTCAGTGTCTTCAGTTTCAGTTATCCATGGTTTATTGTGGCTCAAAAATACCTCTTAATTTTGCATAATAATGGCCCAGAGTGCAATAGTAGAAAAGCTGGCATATGTTCAAAGCCTAAGAGAAGCTGTGAAGTGCTTCTCATCAATCAAAAAGTGATAAATTATGCACACTAAGTGGAGAATTATCAGTTTAATTTTGTAACGGGTATGTATAGGACATATACATGGTTTGCTACTAACCACAGTTTTGGCATCCGCAACCGGTCCTTATAACGTATTTTCCATGGATATGGGGGTCCTACTGTATACATTACTGTATAGTCATTTTCTCCACCAAAAACTATTAAATAATGCATTTTTCTTTCTCCCATTTATGTCACTGTAATGATGACCAACATCCAGATTTATCCACACCATAACATCAAATATTATGTTGCTGATGATTAGATTAAAGATATTAGTTTATTTATTTCATAAATATATAAATAAGGAAACTCCCAGTAGGGAGTTGATCTCAAGATGATTTTGAATGTAAATCTGACAAGTCGTATACATATAATAAAGTGTACTTCTTAACTGATATTTCCAAAGAATATTGTTGTCAGCACTTTGTGCTCTGGTTAACCATGATGTAAGTTTTTTTAAATGTGTGCTATAAATACTGTCCTTGCTAAACACTGTTTGTCTGGAAATGTAATAATTCCATTTGTTTTATTTAACTATAAAAGAAAACTCAACACAAGCTATGGACTTCTTCTCCACCACTATCAAAGGCTATTTAGTGTATTTTTTTTATAGTAGAAATTCCCCTGCCCAAAATTCTCTACATAACCTGTGTTTTTGCTGTATTTACATTTAAAATGATTTTTGTCTTGAGTTAGGTTTGCAAATATAGCATTTTAGCATTTTATTTCAAGATTTGTAAATATAGGAGTAGTACTGTACTGTAATGTTATACGTACTATTTCTTTCTTTCAATGTACCAGCCGTATCCCACCGAGGCGGGGTGGCCCAAAAGGAAAAACAAAAGTTTCTCCTTTTAAATTTAGTAATATATACAGGATAGAAATGTTAAAAGCAGGTGGGGATATAGTTTTGGAGTGGTTGGTGCAATTATTTAATAAATGTATGGAAGAGGGTAAGGTACCTAGGGATTGGCAGAGAGCATGCATAGTTCCTTTGTATAAAGGCAAAGGGGATAAAAGAGAGTGCAAAAATTATAGGGGGATAAGTCTGTTGAGTGTACCTGGTAAAGTGTATGGTAGAGTTATAATTGAAAGAATTAAGAGTAAGACGGAGAATAGGATAGCAGATGAACAAGGAGGCTTTAGGAAAGGTAGGGGGTGTGTGGACCAGGTGTTTACAGTGAAACATATAAGTGAACAGTATTTAGATAAGGCTAAAGAGGTCTTTGTGGCATTTATGGATTTTGGAAAAGGCGTATGACAGGGTGGATAGGGGGGCAATGTGGCAGATGTTGCAAGTGTATGGTGTAGGAGGTAGGTTACTGAAAGCAGTGAAGAGTTTTTACGAGGATAGTGAGGCTCAAGTTAGAGTATGTAGGAAAGAGGGAAATTTTTTCCCAGTAAAAGTAGGCCTTAGACAAGGATGTGTGATGTCACCGTGGTTGTTTAATATATTTATAGATGGGGTTGTAAGAGAAGTAAATGCGAGGGTCTTGGCAAGAGGCGTGGAGTTAAAAGATAAAGAATCACACACAAAGTGGGAGTTGTCACAGCTGCTCTTTGCTGATGACACTGTGCTCTTGGGAGATTCTGAAGAGAAGTTGCAGAGATTGGTGGATGAATTTGGTAGGGTGTGCAAAAGAAGAAAATTAAAGGTGAATACAGGAAAGAGTAAGGTTATGAGGATAACAAAAAGATTAGGTGATGAAAGATTGAATATCAGATTGGAGGGAGAGAGTATGGAGGAGGTGAACGTATTCAGATATTTGGGAGTGGACGTGTCAGCGGATGGGTCTATGAAAGATGAGGTGAATCATAGAATTGATGAGGGAAAAAGAGTGAGTGGTGCACTTAGGAGTCTGTGGAGACAAAGAACTTTGTCCTTGGAGGCAAAGAGGGGAATGTATGAGAGTATAGTTTTACCAACGCTCTTATATGGGTGTGAAGCGTGGGTGATGAATGTTGCAGCGAGGAGAAGGCTGGAGGCAGTGGAGATGTCATGTCTGAGGGCAATGTGTGGTGTGAATATAATGCAGAGAATTAGTAGTTTGGAAGTTAGGAGGAGGTGCGGGATTACCAAAACTGTTGTCCAGAGGGCTGAGGAAGGGTTGTTGAGGTGGTTCGGACATGTAGAGAGAATGGAGCGAAACAGAATGACTTCAAGAGTGTATCAGTCTGTAGTGGAAGGAAGGCGGGGTAGGGGTCGGCCTAGGAAGGGTTGGAGGGAGGGGGTAAAGGAGGTTTTGTGTGCGAGGGGCTTGGACTTCCAGCAGGCATGCGTGAGCGTGTTTGATAGGAGTGAATGGAGACAAATGGTTTTTAATACTTGACGTGCTGTTGGAGTGTGAGCAAAGTAACATTTATGAAGGGATTCAGGGAAACCGGCAGGCCGGACTTGAGTTCTGGAGATGGGAAGTACAGTGCCTGCACTCTGAAGGAGGGGTGTTAATGTTGCAGTTTAAAAACTGTAGTGTAAAGCACCCTTCTGGCAAGACAGTGATGGAGTGAATGATGGTGAAAGTTTTTCTTTTTCGGGCCACCCTGCCTTGGTGGGAATCGGCCGGTGTGATAATAAAAAAAAAATACAGGAGAAGGGGTTACTAGCCCCTTGCTCCCGGCATTTTAGTCACCTCTTACAACACACATGGCTTACGGAGGAAGAATTCTGTTTCACTTCCCCATGGAGATAAGAGGAAATAAACAAGAATAAGAACTAGAAAGAAAATAGAAGAAAACCCAGATGGGTGTGTATATATATATGCTTGTACATGTATGTGTAGTGTGACCTAAGTGTAAGTAGAAGTAGCAAGACGTACCTGAACCCTTGCATGTTTATGAGACAAAAAATGGACACCAGCAATCCTACCATCATGTAAAACAATTACAGGCTTTCGTTTTACACTCACTTGGCAGGACGGTAGTACCTCCCTGGGCAGTTGCTGTCTACCAACCTACTACCTAAAATACGTATTACAGTATTATCTTTGTAAAAACAACATTCAACACTGTTCTAATGAACAATTATTTTGGGGTTGCCTTTTAGACATGATGACTATGACTATAGCCAAATCAACCAGTTGCTGGAGAGAAATCTCAAAATGTTTCTGAAGACAGTGTCGTGTTATCCAGAGCAACTAACGTGTGCTGATCCTGCTGCTAGTATTATGAAGGGCTTCCTGCAGAGTGAAAAGGTTAGTGCCTCACCCTCACATGTTTACTCACACTCACATGTTCATTCACCTTCACATATATGGTCATTCACCCTCACATATTCACTCATCCTCATATTCACTCATTGCAATTATACTTATGTTTATGGATTTACTGTAGTTCACTCGTGGATAACAAGAATCTGTGACACCATTTCTGGCTTCTAGATTAAATAAAGTTCTTTTTAAAGGACATAATCCAAGTAGAAATATTTAATAGCATTTTAATATTTTTTTATAATTTTGATGGCTGTGTCAGCAGCTAAAGGTTAACAATAATTACAGAATTATTATCCAGCCTCTCCTCATTTAACAATGGAGTTCCGTTTCCTAAGACCACGTCAGTAAACGAATTCGTCTCGGAGTGAGGAGCATACTACAGTATAATGGTAGTGTGTTTGCATCAACCATCTTTAATATTGTTTTAATGTCACCTTTGCATCATTTATAACATTTTTAATATATTTTTAAATGTTTATACAGTAGTAATACTGTATATTGTAATAAACAAAATAGAGGAAATCAGCTCTAATATACATTATTTAGGTATGCATGCTGGTCAGAGAGCCCATTGTAAGTCTGAGTTGTTGGTAAACGAATACGTCGCTAAGTGAGGAGAGGCTGTATATACAAAAAAAAAAAAAATTTTAAATCCTTGAGTAATTCAGCACTAGTTAACACTGAAATACAATAAATATGCTGAATATCTTTCATATCAACACTAATAAAATTAAAATCATCAGCTTGTTGCAGTGAATAATGGTTTTTGTAATCATTTCAGATTCACGTTATGATTCTTGTGTTGGAGGCACGACTTCAGGCAGAGTTACTTCATGGTCTTCGAGCTCTTGGTCAATACTTAATGTGAGCATACAGTGTGAGAACTCAGTGTTCGTATGCTGACAGCTGTTCCTGTATATTATAATAAATGATTAACTTGTGATTCACAGAGACAGATTTTCATTTGCTTGAAAATTAGAAGTATGATGAAAGTGGAGGCTGCAAAATTGTGATGTAATAAAGACAGGAATGCAGTACCAGAAAATTATAAAAACAAATGAAAGTAGCAAATGTGGTACAGTATCTTTATTTCAAGTGCAAATTGCTGCTCGTTATTTTTGTAATTAAAAATGCAACACTAAACCCATATAGGTTACACAGCATGCTTCTTATTTTGCTGTTTTGTAACCTGTGCAGGCATAGTCCATAGTTGGTAGCTGCATCCATATTGGCACTTATCTGAAGAAAAACTGCAGGAATAATGCAAACATAAGGCAGACTGTTATGTGATAATTAAAATTTAAAATATGAAATATTAAAGTTGAACCTATAAACGTGTCAAATGAAACACTTTATAACTTAAAAGCTTAAGCTTATATATTTTTTTAATTTAAACTATAAATTTTGTAATAAATTTTTTACATTAAAATTAAGTTAAACCTCATGAAAAGCAAGTGGACCTTCAAAAAACAAATATCTTGCGTAACTGGCAATGTAGGAAGTGTGGTTAATAACGAAGAAACTCCAGTGTGTGGTTAATGTTTGTTGGCAAGTGGTTGGGTTCTTCTATATTCCTTCATACAAGAAGAATATATCCTAAGGATTTTCATTTGGTTGCCTCTGCACATTGGCTATGTGTACAGTATACATCTATATCATTGGGTAATCTGGACTGGCATATATCAGACAGGAAGAGTGTCTCACTGTGACCTGCAAGAATATGGAACAGTACATTGCATTTCCTCATCTTCACTACTGTGCTTGCACTTGTGTATTACAGTGTTTTAAGACTTGCTTTAAAAATCTGTTAATATGAAGCTGTATCAAACATTCATATATATATATACATGTATATATATTGATTACTTAGTTGAGAGGTACATACTTGATTACAGAGCTCAGAAAGCTTGTGCAAACCATAATTTTCCTTTAATACTTTTTAGTATATGTCTCTGCATCAAGTTATCAATCTTAAAAAAAAAATGTCAGTTACTTCTTCCCTTTAGTAGATAATTGTTTTTTGTACAGAATATCACTTGAAAACCTTTATGATGAGAAAGAATTTATATTGTGTCTTAGGTGTCTTAATTTCTTTTTTATCTTAGGAGAGCTTTAAAACTGACCTGTTTCTGTATTATACTGCGAAATATAACATAATTGTTATCACAATTTCAACTGATGATCAAAGATAATCTAAGATCATTTCACAATTTGTAAATAGGTTATTATAAATTTCAGATCTGACAATAAGGTTAAAGAGAGTAATAATGGTCATGGCTGGATTGAAACCTTCAGGGAAGATAGCAGATCTTTGTCACCATGGTTTTATAGATTAAAAACTTATTTGAAAATAATATTTAGGTGGTATATTATTTCGTTAGAAAAATAAGCCAATTTGTAGGATCCTAGATGATGTAGATACTGACTTGTTTCTTACACTTACTTAACTTGTTTAGGGAGGAGATAGATGGCAGAGTTTACCTGCCTGGAGGCAGACTGGAAAGGAAGGATTTACCTATGATTAATCTTTAATTTGAAAAGTAGCAAATATCAAAAGGGTAAAGGATAGGGACTACTTGGTGACTGGCATCACCTGTTTTGTTGATTTTCAATATATATCATGAGGGTTTAATGCATGTTGAAAAATTTGGAAGCAATAAATATAAAGTCATGATATTTCCTGAGATAAACAAAATGTTAATTACTGTACATCCTCCTCTTGGCTTCTGTTATATTTTATCTGCATGCAGTTTACAATATATCTCTTGAAACACCAAGGGTGGAGTTTGTGGACAGTGGTGGTGCCAAGAGAGGGGGGCTTCAGCCCCCAGAAATCTCCTCAGCCCCCCAAATAAAATAACACTGCTTCAAAATAAGTCTCCTAGCCACTCCTTCCAACAAGACAGCCACCCCTAAGCCTCTCCAGTCTAGAAATTCTGGCACTGCCTCTGTTTGTGGATTATTTAGACATGGGAAGAGAATGGGTAATGACAGGTGGATAAAGGGCATGTTCAAGAACATGTGAAAGATAAAGGAATAAAGAACAGCAGAAAATGAGTGAAACTGTGTGGTATCAGCATGGTGAGCATAAACATCTGAATGCCTAGAGAAAAGTTGGACATCCTGGTATTTTATTGGATATAGTTTAATTGATTCATTTTATGAAGTCAATAAGTTAGTAACTTGTCTTTTATTCACTGTTGAAAGTTGATAAACAAGAGTTCTTTGGAAGACTTGCAACAAATGTTAAGCTAACATTCTAATTGGTAAACTGCATATATACATTAATTTGTATTATATGTACAGCAGAACCCCCATATCCACAGATTTGGTTTCTGCTGTTTCAGCTATCCATTGTTTACCGTGGCCCAAAAATAACCCTAAATTTTGCTTAATAATGACACAAAAGCACAAAAGTAGTGATGGTGCCAGTTCTTCAGAGCCTGAGAGAAGCCAGGAAGTGCTTCCCATCAATGAAAAGTGATAATTCTTAACTTACTGTGTATAATTTATCAGTTAAACTTTATCATGGGTATGTATGTAAATGATAAACAACATATATACATAGGGTTGGCAACTACCCATGGTAGTCTTGGAATGTATCACCCGTGGTTATGGGGGACTCATGTACATTATTGTACGTTGTTACCTACTTTCGTCTCTTGACTGATACTATTATTTAATACACAATGTGTTGTCTTCCATACTCTTAGGTAGCTTTTGTTGATATTTCTGTTTTCTTGTTATTCATCTTATTAACTGCTCTTCCCTGAAAGTCATCAATTGAAGCTGAGGTAAATACTATTTTTCCAGTCAGTTACAATACTAATTAATACCATTTGTGTATTATTATTATTGTATTCATAAGAAGAGTACTGACATTTGTGTATTATGTTTTTGTGTATTTATAGCTTAAGATCAAACCTCCACTTCAAGATCCAAGTACCATTGATATTGTTATTAACTTAATACTATATTGCTCAAATAACAGAAAATGTAGTGTCAGTAGTCGTCAGTTTGGTTTGTGTAAGTTGTCTTCCTAGTGAGCTGTAGCATCTTGTCTTATACAGGTACAATATTTATAATGCATGATGGAGTTCAACATTTTATATATATATTTATATATATATATATATATATATATATATATATATATATATATATATATATATATATATATATATATATATATATATATATATATATATACAGTGGACCCCCGCATAACGATGGCATCGCATAGCGATTTTTCCGCATAACGATTACTTTTATCGCAAAATTTTGCCGCGCATACCGATTAAAACCCGCATACCGATTTTCGTCCGAGACGCGTCCAATGTGCCCTCAGCCAGCCTCACATGTGCCGCTCCGTCCCATTGTTTACCAGCCAGCCTCCGCGGTAACATCCAAGCATACACTCGGAATATTTCGTATTATTACAGTATTTTCGGTGCTGTTTCTGGAAAATAAGTGACCATGGGCCCCAAGAAAGCTTCTAGTGCCAACCCTGTGGTAAAAAGGGTGAGAATTAGTATGGAAATTAAGAAAGATTTTGAAGGGTTTGGGGCTAACCCTGAGAAAGCCTATGCCAGTTGTGGAATCCATTGTGCCTACTTCAAAGATTAAGGAAATGTGTGCACAGTGGGTTGAACTGCAAACCTTTATAGATGAAAATCACCCTGACACAGCTGTTGCAAGCCGTGCTGGTGACTATTTCAATGACAATGTTGTGGCCCATTTTAGACAAATCGTAAAGGAACGGGAGGTACAGAGCTCTATGGACAGATTTGTTGTGCGACAGAGGTCCAGTGACTCTCAAGCTGGTCCTAGTGGCATTAAAAGAAGAAGGGAAGTAACCCCGGAAAAGGACTTGCTACCTCAAGTCGTAATGGAAGGGGATTCCCCTTCTAAACAGTAAGAAGATAATGCTCTCCCCTCCTCCCATCCCATCAATCATCACCAGATCTTCAATAAAAGTAAGTGTCATTTAATTGTGCATGCCTTTTTCAGTTTGTGTGTATTAAAATTAACATTTCATGTGGTAAAAAAAAATTTTTTCATACTTTTGGGCGTCTTGCACGGATTAATTTGATTTCCATTATTTCTTATGGGGAAAATTCATTCGCATAATGATTATTTCGCATAACGATGAGCCCTCTTGCACGGATTAAAATCGTTAACCGGGGGTCCACTGTATATATATATATATATATATATATATATATATATATATATATATATATATATATATATATATATATATATATATATATATATATATTTGTTACAACATGCTGCATTCATCCATTGGATTGCCACTAGTTATTGCTCACTTTTTTATTGCTCATTGAATGTGTGTGTGTGTGTGTGTGTGTGTACTCACCTAATTGTGGTTGCAGGGATCGAGACACAGCTCTTGGCCCTGCCTCTTCACTGATCGCTACTAGGTCCTCTCTCTCTTTGCTTCCAGAGCTTTGTCATACCTCGTCTTAAAGTTGTGTATGGTTCCTGCCTCCACTACATCACTTGCTAGGCTATTCCACTTCCTGACGACTCTATGACTGAAGAAATACATCCTAACATCCCTATGACTCGTCTGAGTCTTCAGCTTCCAATTGTGACCCCTTGTTTCTGTGTCCCATCTCTGGAACAACCTGTCTCTGTCTACCTTATCTATTCCACACAGTATTTTGTATGTCATTATCGTGTCTCCCCTGACCCGCCTGTCCTCCAGTGTCGTGTATGTGTGTGTGCGCGCGCGCGCGCGAGTGTGTGTGTATGTATGCATGTGCGAGAGTGCGTGTTCGAGAGTCGAGAGTGCGTGTGTGTGTATACTCACCTGTACTCACCGAATTGTGGTTGCATGGGTCGAGTCACAGCTCATGGGCCTACCTCTTCACTGGTCGCTATACACACACACACACACACACACACACACACACACACACACACACACACACACACACACACACACACACACACACACACACACACACACACACACTCATGCTCACACTCACTCACTTTTTTTTACTCCCATTCATGTTAATTGTTGATTCACTATATTTTACACTGCTCAGTACTGTTTATAGATGTCATTTGTAATAATCACAAGTGCTTGGATACTGCCATCTTGAGTGTCTTCAGGATGCCTACATCAGTCTTAACTTTCATCCTGTGTTGCATGCAACACTTCACATAACTTCTTGCTAGAATTATTATTTACAATATCTGTATTATTATTCTTATGATAATGTGCTAAACCCTTGATGGTCATGCAGTGCCTGAGAATGGAAGGTGTCAAGAACCTTTCACCAATATTAAGGCACTCCTTGATACCAGTGATGGGCTCTTGATGTAGTAAACTGGACTCTTCCTTCCTTGAGCTGAACTTCATTGCCTTATGGGTTTAGCACTTCCCCCAGATTAAAATAAATAAAATCTGTAGCTCTCCAAGCCAAGGGAGTTCCACAAGGTTGTGTTCTCAGCACTATGTACCCGTTTTCTCTTAGCTATAAATGACCTCCCTTCTGTTCTTCCTTTGTATATTTGGTCGTCACTTTATGTTGATGGTTTCACTATAGCTTACTCAGGCACTAACTGTGTCGATTAGTAGCAGCCTCTCTTCAGGTTGTGATAGACTGAGTCTCCCATTGGACCACTTCTCACGGCTTTAAATTTTCTAGTATGAAAACCTGGTTCATTACCTTCACTAGACGTCCTCTTATTCTGGATACTCCCTTGGGCTTACATGGTTCATGTATTCTGACATGTGATACGGTCAAGTTTCTGGGCCTGCTCTTTGATCACCGACTGACGTGGAGACCACACGTTTCTTCTTTAAAGACAACTTGCCATGGTTGGTTAAATCTCCTTAAAGTTCTCGCTAATCGTTCATGGGGAGCAGATCGTCACACTTTCCTCTGTTTGCATTCCACCCTAGTCTTGTCCAAGCTGGATTATGACCAAATCTATTTTGCAGCCTCTCCCACAACTCTAAGTTAGATCCCATTCATCACCAAGGTCTCCGTCTGTGCCCTGGTGCCTTCATCCCCTGTTGAGAGCCTCTATGTAGAAGCAAATATTCCATCCTTGTCCCATTGCCGTGATGCTCATTGCCTTCGCTATTAAGTTTGATCTCATGACCTCCATATATATAGGATGGTCACTGATGTTAGTAGAGGTTCTTTATTTGTTCATCGCCCCTGCTTACTCTGCCCTTTTTCTCTCTGCCTCCATTCACTCTTGTCTTCTCTTCAGTTACCACCTTTCTATGTTCATGTAGCATCTCACTTTTCTATGCCCCCTTGGGAAGTTCCAGCTGTTTGAGTCTTCTTTTCCCACTGCCAGGTATCTCATGGAGAGGTGCCCTGTTCCTCTCTGTGAGAATTGTCACGTTCCAGTATCTGTTAGCCACATTCTGTTGGACTGTCCACTCTATTAATGAGCATGCAGAATTTACCTCCAATGTCGTCTCCGCTCTGCTGCCCTTCCCTTCTTGTTGATGGACCCTCCTTTAATCCAGACACTCTCTCACTGACTTTTTGACAGCAACTGATTTACTGTATGTAAAGTAAAAGGACACAAGTGCACCAAATGTGACATTTTTATTGTGGCAACATTTCGCTCTCCAGGAGTTTTTGTCAAGCCGTTACAAACAGCACATGGACACAGAGGGTATATATATAGGCTCAGAGTGAGGTGCCATACTAGTGGTAGTAGTAGTAGTAGTAGTGATATAAGTTGTAGTAGTAGTAGTAGTAGTAATACAATATGGTAGAACAGTTAACTTGCACATGAGTAAAAGGATATGAAAGCTATTACTTGGGTAACATAAAAATAGGTTAGACAAATATTTCTATTGGAGGCTGGATAGAGAAGGCCTGGTTCAGTGTTCATTCTCTGTAATGTGCTTGTATAGTATTAGCAGGAGAGACTATGTGATGGCAGGGTTTAATGTTTCCAGGAGGATTCTTGCTAAGACTTCAGAGTTGGTGAAGCTGCCTTTGTTTGTTTAATTGTATTAGAAACAGCGATTAGTGCTGATTCGAGGCACTTATGTCTGGGGAAATTAGTTTCTTTGATCACTAATTGGACGTCCCTGTTTCAAGAGATGATTGGTGTAATTTCGGTGTTGTACACAGGCGTTGTTCAAGTTATCGTTCCTACATGCATAAATGTGTTCATTGAGGCAGGTGTCGAGGTTTCTTGCTGCTTCACCTACATAAATCTTGTCACATGAACACTGAAGTCTGAATTGGAATCAGTGAAGATATACATTATTACTGTTCTAATCAATTTAAGTGCTAAAGCTGTAAGAGTCAACAGGGTATACAGACAAAGCAGTGGAACTTGAATGAGGGGGGCACATAAGTCAAGGCAGTTTACAGTGGAATGTCCTCAGTGAGGTTTGTGAGTGACTGGAGCAGGGAAAGGTAGTGATCGTGAGCTCCATAAATACATTCATATGTAAATACTCAAGATTGCATCATACTGATAAATTAATGATTAAGAGGTAGGCCCAGGAGTAAGAGTTCAAGTCACCGTTAACAAATGCAAGTACAGTATATGGGAGTGTGTACACACATGCTTATACACATACATGTACATACATTCTGTTATGGAGTAATCAGATGTTGATCTGGCTAGCAAGATCACCAATCTGCTGAGACTCAGTAAAGTTAATAGTTTGAATATTTTTTTAACATATTAGTACTGCATTTATATGACTAGCACCTGGAAGCATGAAAGAATTGCAGTATATAAGCTATGGAAGAGTATGGACATAAGGAATAGTGAAGTAGTTTCACATATCAGTTGAAATCTGGCTCACTATATCTTATGTTCATACTCTCCAGAAACTTTACATTCCAGGTCTTTAATGCTTTTAAGTGTGAGTCAAACAAATACAATATTAAGAATGCTACAAATAAAATGGAAGGCATCACCAGACGGTAATCCTTCTAGGCATATCAACAAGAGGATTACTTTGTAATACATGCATACACAGTAATATAGTTTTTATGTATATATATATGCTAGTCTTTCACACTGACTTTGACACTGTCCTTGGAGAAATTATATTTTAAGTACAAATTAAGCTGCTTTAATGTTATGTGCAAAATAAAGTGTGTACATGCAGTACAAGTGTTTTATACCAGCTCGAGAAATTAAGATATTCAGCTAATTACTAAACTTGAAATTTTGTTGAGCATAAGTTTTGACTGTTGCATGTTTAAAATATTAAATGAACTATGCATGATGGAATGACATAAATATATTAGAATCTTGTTAAAAGTTTTGTGATAATGAATCTTGAAATATATATTAACTACAGATTATCATACAGTGTAAATAAGTCATTGTATTATACAATGAAAATCTGCTTTAGAAAAATTGACTGGCTTAGTATCTCAGCTGTTTATCTTAGTTAATATACTAGGAAGGTTACTGTGAGCCATAGCTTATACAATATAATTGTTTTTGGATAATCCTTCATAGGATTTGTACATTTTAGTCCAAAACTGGTGATACTTGCAGTAGTACTGAGTGAGTAAAATGTATATACAGTATAGTATACACGATGTTGGTTTCTTTTTTGTAACATGACTGGGATAGTCGACTGTGATGAACTTTATTGCTAAAGCTGTATTCACCTTTAACTTTTTTTTAGCTGCATTTCTGGTTGGCAATGCTTCTTCATTTTATCCCAAGAGAAACAGTTGTTTTACAAAATTAATGGGACTATTTGTAATGCAGATAGTCCTGGACTGTTGCAGCTAGTTCCCAAGAATATATATTTTAATACTGTGTGTGTGTGAGTGTGTGTATATATATATGTTTATATACACACATATTATATATATATATATATTATATATATATACATTATATATAATATATATATAGTATATATAATATATATATAGTATATATATATATATATATATATATATATATATATATATATATATATATATATATATATATATATATATATATATATTATATATATTATATATATAATATATATATATATAACATGTAGAATAATTAATAAACATTTATACAAGTAAGAATTTTTATAAATACCATTTCTTTCAAGAGGGTCACTCCAGAGAATTGGAGTTGCTTCACTTGGATCAAGTCTGATTACCTCCCATTACCCATGTGTTGTGTAATGCCTACGTCTAGCATTTCCCCATGAATATAATTATTTATTTATTTATTTATTATCACACTGGCCAATTCCCACCAAGGCAGGGTGGCCTGAAAAAGAAAAACTTTCACCATCATTCACTCCATCACTGTCTTGCCAGAAGGGTGCTTTACACTACAGTTTTTAAACTGCAACATTAACACCCCTCCTTCAGAGTGCAGGCACTGTACTTCCCATCTCCAGGACTCAAGTCCGGCCTGCCGGTTTCCCTGAACCCCTTCAAAAATGTTACTTTGCTCACACTCCAACAGCACGTCAAGTATTAAAAACCATTTGTCTCCATTCACTCCTATCAAACAAATCCCTCAGGTTTACAGTGATGTAGATAATTACAACAGAAAGATAGACACAAATCAAGCAGAAAAGTTGGTTGATAACAAAAGCAATAATTTCAACAATAATAACAGGAATCAATAAAAACAACTTTGACTATCACAGTTTATTTTGAATTATGTCATATTTCCTCCTAACCACTGGGAGGAGAAATACCCTTATGCCATTGTGTACTAAATTTATTGCATTGGGTTATTACACTGTGATGTAAGAGCTGAAGGCGGCATGTTCCACAATGTCTGGAGTTTATACTGAGAGATATCACACAAATGTCATGGTTCATTATGTATTTTTTGGAAGAGAGGTATTGCTTACTTGTATCAATAGGCGAAGTTTTAAACCAATGCAATTTTTACTACAGAAGAATTGAATATAGTATATCCAATTCTTTCCAGCTGGTTGGTAAACAGTATTATTTTTGGCTATATACGAAGAGAACCAGCAGTTTCTAAGTACCCTAGTAACTATGGCAGCCACTTTTGATAGCCACAATGTATGTAATGTATAAAATGGAATGATCATCTCAGTTTGGAATGAATATCATTCCATAAAAGCTAGGCATGCATACCCATAATCCTAAGTGTGCAGTCAATGAAGGAAGGAGGAACTGAGTAAGATGTGAAATGCATTGTTATATAAACAAGATGAAGTGAATTAGCCTAAGATAAGAAACATCAGCAGTAACTGTATGAATATAAAGGGAGGTGCAAAAGTTTAAACAAGTGTATCGCTGATATGGGTATATATATGTATATATAGTTTATAACTATAATATTCAGTTACAATACTCAGTTTAGGTATGCTTAAACGCAACATGGATTTCCAACAGTTTTAGGCAGTCAAGATACTAAAGACAAGAACATATAGTGTTCATAAGCTTCATCCATTTTGATCATTTCCAGCACCAAATGTTTAACATCTTGGGTTTAGCAGCAGATAATCAAGAGAAATTCATTGATGTTTCGCCCAAACCTGTTGTAACCCGTTAGGCACTTATTAGCAGTTTAATAAAGGCAACGTTACTGAATGTTCATACCGATATTTCATGTTAGAAGGTCTACCAACAGTGTGCAGATAATAGCTTAACGGAAGCTGGAATGATCAGTCTAAGAGATGAAGATGGCCAAACCTTGTTAGGAATAATAAATCTATTTGTGAATATATGAGTAATTACAAATTTCTGATAATCTGTCATTTCTATAATATTAATGTTTGCATGAATGAAAAAAATTCTGTAGGGTTGATAATTCCTGTGACTGCTTTGCTACAAGCTTCAAATCTTTAGATTCAAGATAGCTTGTAGGCCTTTTGCCAAAGAAGTGGGCACAAAGGACCTCTGTAGTGAAATTACAGCAAATTTGTTTGCACACTGGCACATTGTGGTATGTCCTTATTCTGGTAGACATTTTCTCCTATATTCAAGGCATCATATCATAAAAGTTCCCAATGGCTGTTTTTTAATACAGATTGTCAAGTTTGGTTCTCAATAAGCTATGCCATAAACCCTTCTCCAATCCATCATGTACCGAATGTGCTGTTGTTAAGATATTTTCCAACTATGAGAACATAATATCACTTATGCAGATGTAATTGTGAGAGCATGAGGCTCCTCATGCAAAGGTAATTGCAAGAAAATAATGCACCACTAATGTGAAGGTAACTGCAAGAGCATAATGACCACAAGGGTAACTGTGAGAGTATAATGTACCCCTCATGCAAAGGCTAAGGCTAGAGCATACTGTGATATGCTTAATGCAAAGGATTGTCTTCATCCCACAGATTCTCAACCCTACATGGTCTTGGTGAAAGATGGTATCAAATACTGACAGGTCTGTAAATAAGACATGTTTAGTACTAGGATAGTATTTACTGAGGAGACATTTTGCTTATGAGATATTTTTTTCTTTCCAATACAGGATTAAGAATAAACTGTGAGTATATTTATATATATTTTTTTTTTTCAACAAGTCGGCCGTCTCCCACCGAGGCAGGGTGACCCAAAAAAAGAAAGAAAATCCCCAAAAAGAAAAAACTTTCATCATCATTCAACACTTTCACCACACTCACACATTATCATTGTTTTTGCAGAGGTGCTCAGAATACAACAGTTTAGAAGCATACACATATAAAGATACACAACATATCCCTCCAAACTGCCAATATCCCAAACCCCTCCTTTAAAGTGCAGGCATTGTACTTCCCATTTCCAGGACTCAAGTCCGACTATATGAAAATAACCGGTTTCCCTGAATCCCTTCACTAAATATTACCCTGCTCACACTCCAACAGATCGTCATGTCCCAAGTACCATTCGTCTCCATTCACTCCTATCTAACACGCTCACACACGCTTGCTGGAAGTCCAAGCCCCTTGCCCACAAAACCTCCTTTACCCCCTCTCTCCAACCCTTTCGAGGACGACCCCTACCCCGCCTTCCTTCCCCTATAGATTTATATGCTTTCCATGTCATTCTACTTTGATCCATTCTCTCTAAATGACCAAACCACCTCAACAACCCCTCTTTTGCCCTCTGACTAATACTTTTATTAACTCCACACCTTTTCCTAATTTCCACACTCCGAATTTTCTGCATAATATTTACACCACACATTGCCCTTAAACAGGACATCTCCACTGCCTCCAACCGTCTCCTCGCTGCTGCATTTACCACCCAAGCTTCACACCCATATAAGAGTGTTGGTACTACTATACTTTCATACATTCCCTTCATGCCTCCATAGATAACGTTTTTTGACTCCACATATACCTCAACGCACCACTCACCTTTTTTTCCCTCATCAATTCTATGATTAACCTCATCCTTCATAAATCCATCCGCCGACACGTCAACTCCCAAGTATCTGAAAACATTCACTTCTTCCATACTCCTCCTCCCCAATTTGATATCCAATTTTTCTTTATCTAAATCATTTGATGCCCTCATCACCTTACTCTTTTCTATGTTCACTTTCAACTTTCTACCTTTACACACATTCCCAAACTCATCCACTAACCTTTGCAATTTTTCTTTAGAACCTCCCATAAGCACAGTATAAATCAGCAAAAAGTAACTGTGTCAATTCCCATTTTGAATTTGATTCCCCAAAATTTAATCCCACCCCTCTCCCGAACACCCTAGCATTTACTTCCTTTACAACCCCATCTATAAATATATTAAACAACCATGGTGACATTACACATCCCTGTCTAAGACCTACTTTTACTGGAAAGTAGTCTCCCTCTCTTCTACACACCCTAACCTGAGCCTCACTATCCTCATAAAAACTCTTTACAGCATTTAATAACTTACCACCTATTCCATATACTTGCAACATCTGCCACATTGCTCCTCTATCCACTCTATCATATGCCTTTTCTAAATCCATAAATGCAATAAAAACTTCCCTACCTTTATCTAAATACTGTTCACACATATGCTTCAATGTAAACACTTGATCTACACATCCCTTACCCACTCTGAAACCTCCTTGCTCATCTGCAATCCTACATTCTGTCTTACCTCTAATTCTTTCAATTATATTTATATATATACATACATATATTGGTTCACAGATGGTGGGGCCAAGTGCAAGGGGGCAGGACCACTACTCGTCTAACTGCAGTGTCTTGGTGGGGCTGCAACCTCTGTACCTGACCCCAACATCTGACCACTACATATGTCCTGTGGGCATACAACACATATGCAAAAAATGACATTTATTGGAGGTGTTTCTCTCCTGATAGCCTTTTCAGTCCTATAAAGCCTTGATTATTGCATATGCTGATATAACATTAATATACCTATACTTGTACTGTACTATATTATACCCTGTTTATTCTCATCTCTGCATAACACTGAAAAAAAAATTCTACCACTGAAATGTCTCGCCAGTAAATATCGTAACACTGTACTACATGTCTCGAATAATTCTCACTTGTTACTAGTGAATAACGGAATGTTTATGAACTCATTACTTTCTGATATAAAGCTCATGTTAAAACCCTGAATTGTTACTTTTGAGCTTATTTATACAAACTATTCAAAATATAAATGTGCAAATAATGCTCTATATAAGTACATATTATAAATTGGAATATACAGTACAATATTAAGAAAACCTTACCTGAATCACCTGTTTGCATTCTGATATTTGTGGTACAACAAAGGCATTTACATAAAATAGCAACTTTCAATTTTGAAGAATTAAAGTGAGCTATTTTGTGTGGCAAAAATTATATATATATAACAGCATTTGCACACAAAATATGTACAATTACCAAAAAGATCCTGTAACTATTTATTACTTTGAAATATGAAACATAGAATTTGCATTTTGGAACTTTAACTTATAATTACTACATATGTAGCCTGTACATTAGATAACTTTAAGATTGTTAATGAATGATATTCTCTTCAAGGGAAGTTGCTTGAGGCTGATGAAGAGCTTTGATCCAATGAATTGGAGCTACTCTTTCCTTCCATAGGTCAAACCTACTTATCTTCCCTTCCTCAAACACTGTCAGCCCTACAGGCTTAGAGTTTCCCTATAAATGTAACAGTAATAATAAGTCATACCATGACTTAATGAATTACGTATTATTTGTTACATTAATAAGGAAGCACTAAACTTGTTGTATTCACACAGCACGAGAGGAATGGTAGATAATCAGGTTTGGTCCAAGGGGAGAGTAGCTCAAATTCCCTGGATCAAGAGCCCTTTACCATCACAGGGCACCCTCTTTGAAGGGATGCCACTATGTAAACCAAAAGATGTCTCTCAGTGTATGCTATATACAATGATTCAGGACTTACAATGAATACGATAATATCTACACTGAGAGTTGACTTGAATCCCTTTCTTAGGATTAGTTTTCCTGATGGTACTGTACGGGAGAACTGTAAACCTTAATGACAAATTAGACACATACAGCACTTGGGTATCTTGATTGAGGAAATGTTTTGCCACACAGCAGCTTCATTACTCCAATCAAAGGAGAATGGTGACAATCAGGAGGAGGTTGAAGTAATTAGTCCCTCAGCCTGGAGTCGATGTACTCAGTCCATCTATCTTAACTGATGGACTGAGTACATTGATGCAATCAAGACTGATAGATTGATTACATCGACTTCAGGTTGAAGGACTGATTACCTCAAACTTCTTCATGTCTTCATTCTCCTTTGTATTGGACTGATGAAGCCACTGTATGGCAAAACATTTCCTCAGTAAAGATGCCCAAGTGTTGCACGTGTCTAATTTATCAACTTGTCGGTACTCTGAACCATTTATCTACAACCTCAATGACCTTCATGTAGTCTTGAGCTCAGCTAAGAGTTAATGAATTATGATGATTATTAGAGTTTAATTCTTCATTTAACTTGGTCTGACCAGGAACAGGAAAATGGAGAACAGTAGCAAGCAGGTGAAATATAGAGAATTTCTTTGTAAAGCTATAAGATTTGATGAAAAAGAACATCCATAGTAGAAGAATGGTAGACTTTGTCAATAATCGGTACATGTGCATATATGGCCAAGAAAAAGTGCCAAAGGGTAAAAAAAAAAAAAAAAAGTTCCACTCAAAAATATTACAACCATCATTTAAATAACAACGACTATGTTATTTTTACAAAACAAAATAAAAGGGGTTGTGATAATGCAGTAATTTTCAGTCCTGAAAACTAAGTCAGCCTTTACCATGATGTGTAAATGTATGGGTGACCATCACAGATTATCTCCTAAGGCTGAGTTATCTTCCTTTTTACACTCTTGATGAATAGTATGATTTTATGCAGATGTACTGTACAGTGTATAGCATAATGCGTGAACATGCATGTGTGTTTGTACATGCACACATTTCATCAATCAATTTAATGATGAATTATAAATATATGTCATACTTATTAGGCAGATCTTGTGATCTTGGCTTATTAAGCAGCGGCTCTTTTGCCAAACAAGCCGAATATAAATTAAATTTCGCAATAACTCCACAAAAATAATTCTGAGTATCATTAAAATACGTATTACTGATGTGATGAAAATTTGTAATGAACATCGTCTCAGACACTTAGCTAATCTCAGGGGTTTCTCAGTCAGAATTATGGGGAGGCTGGTGATGGTCATTAATTGCAACTTGATTACAAGTTTTTATGGGGGACCTCTGACTCAAAGAGTAGCCAATAATTAGTTTTAGCATCTGTCCCTTCTAAATCACTTATCAATATGCTGAAAATTCTTAACTAGCGAGTGTAACAATTCAGCAGTGACTGGTCTGGGATTACCTAGTTGTTGTTAAGTCACAGCACCAGTCATAAAGGTTCTCCAACCAGAACATCCGTAACCTATTACTCATCCATCTCCCTTTTGCCACCTGATGCCCTCGCTTCCTTCCTGCCCTGCAGCGCTGTATAGCCCTTGTGGCTTAGCGCTTCTTTTTGATTATAATAATAATAATCCAACCAGAACACTGGGCAGGTCTTCTAATAATTGGCTGCTGGTCAAGTCTGAGTTCTCCATAAAAACTCGTGATTGGGGTGGTTACTGACCATCTCTAACCTGTCCTGAATGCTGGTAATCTGCGATGTTAAATAATACTATATTGAAACTGACCTTAGATGGGTTAGATTAAGATTAAACTACATTAGGTTAATTTTAACAAGGTTAGATCAGGTCGCTGTTAGTTCAGCAGCACAATGAAAAACTGCATTTCATGTCTGCTCATGTGACTATCTAACCATACACATAAAACGGAGCTACAGCAGAAAGTGAATATATATTTGGCTAGTCTGTGTGGCAAGACGATCGTTCCTTAATACACCAAGTTGGAAAGTTCGACTTAAAAGCATGTATGTATTTATCTACTGTATATGTAGAAAAAGAGAGCTTAATTAAGTCTTCAAAAGTTAACTGGGTGTTGTGACACAAAGCCAGCACCACAAAGAGGTTAATGGAGGTACATGTCCTTCTGAACATGATGAGTTATATTGATAGCCAGACAATCTCAAGTGCTAATATCACAACTTTTAATTTTCCGAAGTAACCGGACCAATCTCGCAAAACTGCCCTCATTATTTTAGCTAAAATATCTTATTCTAAATTGTCCTACTAGTGCAATTTTGACAAGACGTGAAGGCTTGGACTTATAAATAATGGTCTACAGTATATAGCAAATGTTGAGGCGAGAGCTTGTTAAAGGGGACTATGATGAGGTGCTTCGATTTGTGACATTTTTAAATCTTTTTCTCGTAACGGAGGCTGCCAACTTTCTGTTCTTCTCTCGTCTATAGACTGAAGCAAATACTGTACATCCATTGTTCCTCTTGTACATTATTTTCCTTGCTTGCTACATTAGTTTCTAAGTGCTGATTGCAGCAAACATTCACATTTAGTTTGATCTTAATCATTTTCTCCTTGCCTCTCACCTACCTTTTCCTAGTGTAACTTTTCCTCTCCACATTGTGTAACTAATTCCTTAGATTTATATATCTTATTCCCAACACTTTTTCTTTTTACTCTCCTTACCATAACTTTCTACCTGTTAAGTACTCCAGCTAAAGAGTTCACCTTAACAATCCCTCCTATCATAAAGACCATCAAGTAAGTTAACAGTCAGTTGGTATCCTCTATAGCTTTTTTAAGAATAAATTAATCTCTAAAAAACACTTTAGAGAGTAAATGTCCCACAGAGAATTATCCTCCGCAGGACATCACTGCAAAATCAGCTTCATTTCTTTCTAATATTATTTACCAAATTCACCTTCATAGTACCCTTTAATAAGGCCACCTAAATAATTCTACAGTCCCCACTAATAATTTTATTTGCCAAAGCTCCCCCAGCAAGGTAGTCCCCACAGGCCCTGATGAGCAAGTTCAATTAACTAAGCACTGAGGGATAATAGCAGCAGCATCTAGGGACGCCGTCCTGTCATGTCAACGACGGTGGTAGAACTAGGATTTAATTAATAAAAATATCCTGTGATACTGGTGGTCACAGGGGTCGACGAAGCCTTAAGGCCAAACTCATTAAAAAAAACCTTGATTATTTTAGCACGTTAAGTAAAGAGGAACTAATCCTATCTTGGCACTAACATGTTACAACTCTCGGTCTGAGTCGCATCACACTTAAATTCACGACTAGACGAGAGAGTTCATTACCACATTTTGTTTATCACTTACTGATATATTGAAAGTTTCACTCACGACTAAAAGACATTACCTCCAAGAACATTCAGGATCTCCCTATGGATAAATTTGTGCAGCCTTTAAAACTTACGAATCGATAAGACCTGACAAATAGTTGCTGAGGTAATTATTACAGCTGCTACCTGGCGAATGTTCATAACTTATCTTTTGCAAGTGAGAGTCCTGGCTGTCTTGGGTGTAATGTGTCGTAAGTATATTTGTTGAGCTGGAATGAGACTTACTAACCTCCACTCTGCATCAGTTGCTCTCACAAAAACACCAGAGCACCAAGTTTGCAACCGCAGGCAAGGTGTGCATAACTAGTTCAGCTGAAGGTCTGTATACTGTCAAAGTGAATGAGATGAGCTTTGGTTAGTATGATCACAGCTACAGATGGTGTGTATGGTAGTGAATACTGTGAGCTGAGTACTTGTGCTGCCATGCCCTCACTGTTACATGTGTGTCTGGCTCTTGTGTAGGCCTTACAGTCACTGGTTACAGTCTTGTGGCTGTCACACTCTTGCCACTCTCCTAGATCAAATCCACCTGTTTCAGTTACACCAACGTTACACATACACCCTTATGTTGAAGCCTCATATGAAGTACACATCCATCACCATGTGCTTCCATTTATGTTCAACTTTGTGTAGTTCAAATCCACTGAAAAATCTGTTCATTTTATCTGTTAGTTCACAGAACCATCATACTAACAATATTAACAATACAAGAAATCACTCATCCTGCATAGTTTGGGTTTTAGCTAGAGTGTTGCGACAATAACGCTCTGTTCTCCTGCAGTCGTCAGTGCTCGAAGACGCGAGGCAGCACTTCGACGTGGTGATGACCCAGGCTTGGGAGAAGTACCACGCCGGAGTATTGATCGTTTAGGAGACCCACGCTTAGGTGACCCTCCAAACCGAGAGGTGGCGACCAGCTTAGGTGATCCAGTCGTTCTGGAGGAGGCGAGTTTAGGAAGCGCAGCCATTTTAGGAGAGGTTCCCAGTCTAGCTGCAACTCCTAACCTGGGTGAAGCTGCTAATCTTGGCGATGTTCTAAGGCAAGATTTATATTTTTGTAAAGGTTCTGCACTGAGGTGTACACCAGTATCTAGCTTGGTGCCAGGCCTGGGCTCATCTATTGTTCTTCGGATGATGGCCAAGTCGATCTGTTGCTGTGGCTGCTGTGTCTGGTGTTGGCTGCGGGCACTTGGAGTCGCCCACCGCTCCTCTGTCTTGGCTGGAGTCACGCAGCAGATGGGAAATAACTTTGAGGTCCTGGCAGCACCATTGCGACAGGCAGCAAAAGTTGGGCTGAGGGTGTTAATAGTGGTGGAATGTGGAAGCAGCGTTTCCCCAGACACTCCTCCATCCCCAAACACTTTTTTAGCAGGTAGTTTAAGGGCAGCAACTATCTTCTCTTTATCTGCCTTCTTGTTTTTCCCTGGAGGCTCTAGGGCGATACTGACATAGAAATGCGCCTCCTGGCGTGTCCGGGACATTGTTGGTGTCAATGTCTTGGTGATAGCGAGGGGATTGTCACTTACGGGAGGCTTCACGTTGCTGCTGAACTGGCCTCCAACATTGCCCTGAGGTAAGTAGCGTGCCACTACCACTGTGCGGCCATCAGAACCCCGGGCAATGCCCATACCCACAGCTCTGGTTGACTGCCACACCACCTGTGAGAACGGCCCTGTCGAACACACTAATATTATATAAAGTTTAAAAAACAATATTTTATAGTCTATCCTAGTTATTCTCCATTGTGTTGCAGTCCTTCCTGTTGATAAGCAAATAAACACTTCTTGTGAGGCATCAAAATAATCTGAAATGATAGTACTGTATAGCGTATCCATAAGCTTTGTTAGTATTACTATTATTCTTTATTAGAATTAAAAAAAATGCTCACTAAATAACTGACATAGAATAACTGAAGTCTTGTATCCTCAAAGGGCAATGCAATCCCACAACCAGAAGAGTATATTCAGAGTATATTTAATATTTAATAGAAACTATGTATCCTGCCAAGACAAAACCATTTTCATTGCTAAATTTACGAACTGGAATGCAGTTACCTATAGCCTTACTATCAACATGCTCCATAACCTGTACCAATATAGAGTTTGAATAATCTTAGTCTGCCCGAAATGCCTAGTCATGCTAGGCATGATAGTGGCCCTCTCTCTAATTAGTATTTTATAGTATGTAAACCACACATTGTAACCAATATTCTATAATATGTAAACCCTACACTGTAATCTTTATAAATAAACTTAATTGTTTACTCCAGAGGGTTAATAATCCAGGATAACCTAAGAAAGTCAAGTAGTTAGTTTCAAGGCTTTATTATGCTCTCCGTACCCATCCCGAAGGCGGTAGTCAAGATATTACAGAGGCACATAATGAGTCCAAGGACTTGGCCGCAGTCTTGATAACCTAGTAAGTTACAGAAGTAATGAACTACTACTACTAGGTTATGATTTGCTAACAATGATAATGAGTCGTTTACGAGAGCATGAGTTCAGCTTGAGAAACATTAGTGTAGCTTATATACTGCTGAGAGTTTAATTTTAATACCTAATATTTCAGCAAGGTATAGCTGAATTTAGACACGTTTAAATGGTTATGAGTTTTTTACAATAGTCATATTTTTTCCAGAATGGCTGGTAATACGCCACTGTTTACCTGGAGTTTACCTGGAGAGTTCCGGGGGTCAACGCCCCCGCAGCCCGGTCTGTGACCAGGCCTCATGGTGGATCAGAGCCTGATCAACCAGGCTGTTACTGCTGGCTGCACGCAATCCAACGTACGAGCCACAGCCCGGCTGGTCAGGTACCGACTTTAGGTGCTTGTCCAGTGCCAGCTTGAAGACAGCCAGGGGTTTATTGGTAATCTCCCTTATGTATGCTGGGAGGCAGTTGAACAGTCTTGGGCCCCTGACACTTATTGTATTGTCTCTTAACGTGCTAGTGACACCCCTGCTTTTCATTGGGGAGATGTTGCATCGTCTGCCGAGTCTGTGTTAAAACACTTCGATATTTCTTGAACATTTGTGAGTTAGCTGTCTCTGAATTCATGATTTATTCATATTTCAGAACATAATTACAGAGAGTGTGATAACAATTTCCCTGGCAAAATCTACATTTAGTTAAGTCTACCTCAACTAGTGGTACTTGGCAGCCCACCCGAAGCCTGGTAGTGGTGACATCCAAGAGCCTGCTGAATTTGTTAGATGTTCCATAGACATGTAGCTTCTGGATGATAGAATGATGATAGATGGACTGACTGGTGACAGTCTTCTTCAGTCTCAAGTCAATGAAGTTCAGCTGAAGTTCTTTTCGTAATATTGTGCTTAAATATATTTAACTGGTGGACAATTCAAGAGTTCTGTCATGCATTTGAAAACCAATGTGAAAAGGAATTCACAAGTGTTCTGACTCCACTTTCTATAATATGTCTTCCTTCTGACACCAGCATGTCACAACTGACACCCCTGGAACTATGGGTATTTATGGATAATAAACAATCACCTACAATTAAAGTGTCAACTTTAGACACACGGACACATCCGAGTGCAAGGAGTTCAATTGTCAGTGATAGCTATGAGGCATCACTGACAGCAATGGCACTACCGGCTGCACTAGTGGGCTGGTGGACGGAGTCATCATTATATATAATTTGTGGAAGTGCTGTGTGCCTAAGGCTTCATGCTTAGCTTCAAGATGAAGCTTGCATTGTGATCTAATATGTTTCTTGGGGGGAAGGAGAGGTATTGTTATTTGGAAACAGAATTTTATCTGGTACAGGGAAGTGTTACTATTGTCTTGCTTGTCTTAGATCATCTGATTTATCTGGAAGTCAAGTTTTATGATCCATTTGGAGGAGTCCTCACCTGTGGTAAAAAAAAAAAAAAAGAGAGAAAATGTTTGGAGGGCTTCTGTGAATGGGTTTGCTTGAGCATGTTACCGCCAATAAGGACATTTCTTTTAGTGACAATCTCTGATACTTGGCATATCAAGATCTTTCCATATTTTTTTAGTATTTTATTGATACATAGACATCCTAGCATGATCCTCATCGCTTTTTTTTCAATTTCTCCAGCCCTTCAAGCTTCCTGTCTGACACGAGAGCAACTAAGTGTGCAACATTGTCAACCAGTGATCTAATGTAGGCAAAATACTACATCATTTTCACATTAGCTCCATACCTGGGAAGAAACCTCACCACAGCTCAAACTGATATCGGCCTCTCTTTGTACACGTGAGAAAGTCTGGTTAAAAGTCCAAACAGAAAGACCTCGGCTGCCAGATATCTGTATCTGGTCACGTACTCGAGGCGAGACCCATCGTGCAACTGGATACTGCAGATAGTGCCTTCTTGATGAGTATCTACTAAATGTTTAGAGATGTTTTGAGTGTCGGTAAAACAGCACAACTAATCATATAATGATTGTGCTGGCTATGCATAGTACTTAGTAACTAGTGCTTTTGTAACTATTTGTATTTGTAAATTTTATAAGATCTATTTGCAAATAAAATTAATTTTCATTTTCAATACGGGGATAAAATTTCTTGGATTGCGCAGGAACCAAAATACGTCTAGTTTGCCTCTAATCTGGACTGCATGATAGACTATCATGGCTAGATGTAACAGCCCAAGCACTAACTCATGTGTGGGCTTAACTAAGACCACTCCCAAGCACTAACTCATGTGTGGGCTTAACTAAGACCACTCCCAAGCACTAACTCATGTGTGGGCTTAACTAAGACCACTCCCAAGCACTAACTCACGTGTGGGCTTAACTAAGACCACTAACAAACATTTCCTAGTCTGTTTGCCATAACTCATACATTCCCTGGCAGCAGAGTGAGTACCGTCAGAGATTCAGCAATTTAGGGATGCATTTTTTCTAGATCGTGTAACAGTACATTTCAATACTCATACTTAAGGATTATTATACTACTTATGATTATTATCGTGAGTAGATGAGTCTGGAGTACCGTACATACATTTGAACGTTGTAAAAAAGTTTATTGTTAAATTGGGATGACAGAGTTTCCTCTTGACTATCCTACCAGGGAGGATAGTATTACTAGTATCTATACTGATAGTGATTAATCTTGGGAAATGGTCTCATGCAATATCTGTTATAATGGAAGATTCAGCTGGTAAAGACAGATCAAGGACAACTCTATACATGTGTCTTGCTTGAAGTTTCCCTATAATTTACACATCAGTGACAAAAATAGTTTACCATTACGATTAGTAAATTGTGACAAATGGTTATTTAAATCAAGGATAACACAGATTTGAGGTTTGTTATAAATTATTTATGAATTAGTTAAACACAAAAGATAGAAAAGTAATATTTTAAATCATTAAAGAAAAAGTTTGAGGATAATCATACCAGCATGTGCGAGGTCCGCCGAGCTGTTGACGCCATACTTGAAGTTGCGACCAGTTTGGTACCAGCCCTGAGCCACAGTGTACCCTGGAGTACACCAAGACAGTAAGGTTATTTAGGTATAGGAAGGGCCGGATTAAGGCATGGGCTTTAGGGGCTGCAGACCAGGGGCCTCCGCTAGCTGGAGGGGCTGTAGCCCAGGGGCCTCACAGTACCTGTAACCCAGGGGCCTCACAGTACCAGTAGCCCAGGAGCCTCACAGTACCTGTAGCCCAGGGGCCTCACAGTACCTGTAGCCCAGGAGCCTCACAGTACCTGTAGCCCAGGAGCCTCACAGTACCTGTAGCCCAGAGGCCTCACAGTACCTGTAGCCCAGGGGCCTCACAGTACCTGTAGCCCAGGAGCCTCACAGTACCTGTAGCCCAGGGGCCTCACAGTACCTGTAACCCAGGAGCCTCACAGTACCTGTAGCCCAGGGGCCTCACAGTACCTGTAACCCAGGGGCCTCACAGTACCTGTAGCCCAGGAGCCTCACAGTACCTGTAGCTCAGGGGCCTCACAGTACCTGTAGCCCAGGAGCCTCACAGTACCTGTAGCCCAGGAGTCTCACAGTACCTGTAGCCCAGGAGTCTCACAGTACCTGTAGCCCAGAGGCCTCACAGTACCTGTAGCCCAGGGGCCTCACAGTACCTGTAGCCCAGGGGCCTCACAGTACCTGTAGCCCAGGAGTCTCACAGTACCTGTAGCCCAGGGGCCTCACAGTACCTGTAGCCCAGGGGCCTCACAGTACCTGTAGCCCAGGAGTCTCACAGTACCTGTAGCCCAGGAGCCTCACAGTACCTGTAGCCCAGGAGTCTCACAGTACCTGTAGCCCAGGGGCCTCACAGTACCTGTAGCCCAGGGGCCTCACAGTACCTGTAGCCCAGGGGCCTCACAGTACCTGTAGCCCAGGGGCCTCACAGTACCTGTAGCCCAGGGCCTCACAGTACCTGTAGCCCAGGAGTCTCACAGTACCTGTAGCCCAGGAGCCTCACAGTACCTGTAGCCCAGGAGTCTCACAGTACCTGTAGCCCAGAGGCCTCACAGTACCTGTAGCCCAGGGGCCTCACAGTACCTGTAGCCCAGGAGCCTCACAGTACCTGTAGCCCAGGAGTCTCACAGTACCTGTAGCCCAGGAGTCTCACAGTACCTGTAGCCCAGAGGCCTCACAGTACCTGTAGCCCAGGGGCCTCACAGTACATGTAGCCCAGGAGTCTCACAGTACCTGTAGCCCAGGGGCCTCACAGTACCTGTAGCCCAGGAGCCTCACAGTACCTGTAGCCCAGGAGCCTCAGTACCTGTAGCCCAGGGGCCTACAAGATCTTAATCCAGCTCTGGGTACAGGTACACATAAGTACTAACACAGATTTAGGTTATTGCAGTTATCATATATAGCAACCTTGTGTAACGTGATACAGATCAGAGCAGCTACACAATGTTCTGTTGCAAATTTTTACTAAATAATGCAGGTTCAACAACACGTTTTCATTAAAACTCTAATAGCACCAGGGCGGTATATATTATTATTATTATTATTATTATTATTATTATTATTATTACTACTACTACACCACCCAAGGGAGTGGTAAACCCATAGGGGTCTTACAGTGCCTGTGGGGAAGAGAGGGCATTCTGACTCGATTTAAGGAACTGGAGCACAGATCTATTTCCTTGAGTCAAGAGCCCCTCACTAGCATGAAGGAACTTCCCGTGAGGGAAGAGGACAGTACAGCATGATGTAAATTATTGGGAAAAAACATGTTAGAGGCGGTGCAGGAGGCTAGTAGGGGAGGAAGGGGTAGGGGAGAAGAAATGGATGAGGAGAATGGTTGGGGGAGAGGTGGAGGAAGGGGTACGGGAAGTAAAGAAGGATGGGGAAAGTGGGGAATTGTTGGGGAAGGGGAGAATAGAAGTAGAGTTGGGGAGAGAGAAAAGTCGACCTCTCCTCCCCACCTCTCTCACCTGTAAGACCTTCCTTGGCAGTAGAGGTCATAATGTTCTCGCCTCGCCCGTGTTCGGAACTATACTCCAGGAGACCAAAGTGTGCCAGGCGGTTGGCCCAGGCTTGGGCATCGTTGCATAGCTGGTGACAACATTCGGATACACTCATTACATCAATATTGGTCAACAACAAAAAATCGCTAATAGGAATAAAAAAAAACTAACAGTTTATGAAAATATATAAACGAATACCAAGATACATAAATACATATGTAATTCGGATACATTATAAATACATACAGAGATATTTATTAAAAACAAATGAAAGAAGGTAAGAAGAATGGCGGAGAAGTTACTACCACTCTGCTCTCTTGAGCAACTCCAGCAGGCAGGAACTATCTTATCTAAGTTAACTGTTACAGGCACAGATCTGCTCTCAGCAGCCAACACCATCATCAGTGAAGGACATCACTACCAGACTAAAAATTAACAATTCATTGGAAAAATAATAGTGTACAAGCCTAATAATATGACTTGACAATTGTCCTGTGATGACCGAAACACCTGGTCCTGTATTGACAGAAACGTCATGCATTGACCGAAACGTCTGGTCCTTCATTGACCGAAACATCTGGTCCTGTATTGACAGAAACGTCCTGCATTGACCGAAATGTCTGGTCATTCATTGACCGAAACGTCTGGTCCTGCATTGACCGAAACGTCCGGTCCTGCATTGACCAAAACGTCTGGTCCTACATTGTCCGAAACGTCGTGTACAATTCGCTAGATAAACTACGTTACTTGTGAATTCTGGTAGCCAGAGTATACATACACATATAAGAGGCCACAAGTGCAGGAAAGGAAAGTGGTATTCCGTGTGTGGTTGGAACAACGTTGCATTGGAATGATCCTGAGATCTGAGAATGTAATGCATGTTTTAACAGCAAGAACATTGATTATGTCTGGTCTCCACTGTCCTTCCGAGGCGATGAAATTGTATTTGATTTTCATGAAGGTAGATTTTAAGATACTAGTTTGAAACTGCGTTGGGAAATGTGAGCGATTTTAGCTGATATCCAAAATTTTCTAGTTTAGTTGGTCGACATGTTGACAAGCATATGCCATAGATTTTTAGTTTTTATGAGTTACTGGGGAGGTTCCGGCTAATTTGTGTTATGTAAATAGGTTTATATGAAGGTATTTATAGGCTTCAAGCGTGTCAAGTTGTGGGGTGCTAAGATTTATTTAAGATACTGTCTGCTATCCTCATGGTTTAATAAATATTATAAAAGGTGCATTTCATAGGTGCTGTGTCATCTAATCATCTTATTTATGCATCTGGCCACTTCAGCGTCTGTCTGTGTCTCTTTATTGGTAATGTATCATGGTTGTGATTCAGCGTTGCCGTGGTATAGAATCATGATTTACTTTTTGTAGAGAGAGAGTGAATGACTCACTTCCTCAGAGAGCACCAGTGGGGGTGCTGAGTGATGTGAGCGAAGTCTGTTATGTTCCCCCAGACACTCTTGTACAAACTGACTCCTGGACCAGTCCACCTCTCCTGTCTCCCGGCCCTGTACGCTGGCTCCCTTGCCTGACCATACCTGCAGAAACATCAACATTATAACTACATGTATTATACACAGACAAGGTGAAGTGTAGTGCAGTGGGCAGAGCATTCGGCACATTACCGAGAGGTCCTGAGATCGATCTAAGGTGAAGTCTCCTTACCTACTGCTGTTGCTCACCCAGCAATAGACACCTAGGGGGAATGCAAATAATAATAATAATAATAATAATAATAATAATAATGAAGGCAGGATACCATGAACATTGTTTATAGTCCTGTAAATACAGAGTAATAAGAAAATATAATGTTTTCAAACGTTTTACTAATAACGAAGGATAATCATAGCGGTCTGTAATTAGTCGAGGAAGGCTGTAAACACGGAGGCTGTAGTATATCTTGAAGGATATACACTCAGAGTTTACTTTAATCCCCATTCTAGAGAGTAAAGTATTCTTAACTGGTGGTAAACAGGTGATATGCAGCTTTAATGACCCTCGTGTAGTACAGACCAAAGAGTTGGGTCAGAAACAATGTCCTCTTTAGATACCATAGTTTCTCCTTGATGACTGAAACATAAGTCCAGGACACCCATGTTGTGTTGTATTGTTCCTCAATATTCTGGAGTGACAACGGACAGTACATTTCATCAGTACTGGAGTGCCACTGCTAGCACCGAGTGATCACTCTAGATGAGACAAAAACCACACACACATTTTCCGGTGATAGTTTGAGCCATGCTCTACGAGATTGAAGGCAGACCACACCACCTCCGTGCTGCTCAAGAGACCTCCACCCTACCCTCTTCCCCGGGATGGTGGGTGTCAGGGAGGGACAACAAGGGCCCAGTGTTGGTATTCCAGTCTTACTTTTGGACTACTGCTGTCCTGATGTATGCGTCCACTAGAGACTCTAAGTGAATTTTTCGGGACGGTGAACGGCTCCTCCCCCTTTCCCCGCTCTCTCTCTCTCTCTCTCTCTCTCTCTCTCTGCCTCCCACCTTCCTTCTATATTTCTTTTCCTTTTCTTCCATTGTATCGTACGTTCTCGTTAGTAAAGTTTTGTCATAATCTTTTATTCCCTGACCATCTTCATTCTTTCTTCCTACCCTCTCTCCCTTCTTTCATTCTCACCCATTTTTTCATTTCCCATCATCATTTTCTTCTACAGTTACATGTTACCACTGCTACAGACCAGAGCTGACATACCATGTAGAAACTCTCAGGTTATGTAGAGCATTTATGGCACTTTAGGTTAATATTGTCCCCCTAGGATGCCACCCATAACAGTCTGCTAGCATCCATGTACCTACTTACTGCTAGGTGAAGAGTGACAGCAGGCGTAAAGTGAATGACACCTAAATACCTACTTACTGCTAGGTGTAGAGTGGTAGCAGGCATCAAGTGTCTAACACCCAGGTACCTATTTACTGCTAGGTAACAATGACAACAGGTGCAAGGAAACATAACCAACGTTTCCACCTTTGCTGGGGATCAATCCTGGACTCTCAGTGTAAGCTGAGGACGCTACCAACTGAGCCACCAGCACCCTGTATGTGTGTGTGTGTGTGTGTGTGTGTGTGTGTGTGTGTGTGTGTGTGTGTGTGTGTGTGTGTGTGTGTGTGTGTGTGTGTGTGTGTGTGTGTTTGTGTGTGTGTGTTTGTGTGTGTGTGTTTGTGTGTGTGTGTTTTTTGTGTGTGTGTTTTGTGTGTGTGTGTGTGTGTGTTGTGTGTGTGTGTGTGGTGTGTGTGTGTGTGTGTGGTTTTGTGTTGTGTGTGTGTGTACATGGCTTCCCCCTCTTATCACTACATATCTCCACCAATAATTGCCTTAATTCGGTTTGATCATTAATTATAATTAATTTCGTTTCCTACCTTTTAAATTTTTACCCGCCCTCTCTCATTCGCTTTCACTCTCTCATTCGCTTTCACTCTCTCATTCTCTTCCACTCTCATTCTCTCTAGTTATCAGACTAACAGGTCTTCCTCAACATCTTCTTTTAAGTTGGGTCTTATTTAAAGATCCTCCCACATTAACTTGTCACATTATATCTTAACTACAACTTAACACGGTCATTAACATCTTACTACACATTTAAACACTTTGTCACTTAACTATCTTACTACACACTTAACATTGTCACATTAAATATTTTACTACACACTTACATTGTCACATAACTATCTTACTACACACATAACACTTGTCACATTAACTATCTTATACTACACTTAACACTTGTCACATTAACTATCTTTTTACACACTTAACATTGTCACATTAACTATCTTACTACACATTTTAAACACTTGTCACATTAACTATCTTACTACAACTTAACCTGTCACTACTACCTCACTACACACTTAACACTTGTCACATTAACTATCTTACTACACACTTAACACTTGTCACATTAACTATCTTACTACACACTTAACACTTGTCACATTAACTATCTTACTACACACTTAACACTTGTCACATTAACTACCTCACTACACACTTAACACTTGTCACATTAACTATCTTACTACACACTTAACACTTGTCACATTAACTATCTTACTTACACACTTAACACTTGTCACATTAACTATCTCACTACACACATTAACACTTGTCACATTAACTACCTCACTACACACTTAACACTTGTCACATTAACTACCTCACTACACACTTAACACTTGTCACATTAACTACCTCACTACACACTTAACACTTGTCACATTAACTACCTTACTACACACATTAACACTTGTCACATTAACTATCTCACTACACACTTAACACTTGTCACATTAACTACCTCACTACACACTTAACACTTGTCACATTAACTACCTCACTACACACTTAACACTTGTCACATTAACTACCTCACTACACACTTAACACTTGTCACATTAACTACCTTACTACACACTTAACACTTGTCACATTAACTACCTTACTACACACTTAACACTTGTCACATTAACTACCTCACTACACACTTAACACTTGTCACTTAACTATCTTACTACACACTTTAACACTTGTCACATTAACTACCTTACTACACACTTAACACTTGTCACATTAACTACCTCACTACACACTTAACACTTGTCACATTAACTATCTTACTACACACTTAACACTTGTCACATTAACTACCTCACTACACACTTAACACTTGTCACATTAACTACCTCACTACACACTTAACACTTGTCACATTAACTACCTCACTACACACTTAACACTTGTCACATTAACTATCTTACTACACACTTAACACTTGTCACATTAACTACCTTACTACACACTTAACACTTGTCACATTAACTACCTCACTACACACTTAACACTTGTCACATTAACTATCTTACTACACACTTAACACTTGTCACATTAACTACCTCACTACACACTTAACACTTGTCACATTAACTACCCCCACTACACACTTAACACTTGTCACATTAACTACCTCACTACACAATTAACACTTGTCACATTAACTACCTCACTACACACTTAACACTTGTCACATTAACTACCTCACTACACACTTAACACTTGTCACATTAACTACCTCACTACACACTTAACACTTGTCACATTAACTACCTCACTACACACTTAACACTTGTCACATTAACTACCTCACTACACACTTAACACTTTGTCACATTAACTATCTTACTACACACTTAACACTTGTCACATTAACTACCTCACTACACACTTAACACTTGTCACATTAACTACCTCACTACACACTTAACACTTGTCACATTAACTATCTTACTACACACTTAACACTTGTCACATTAACTATCTTACTACACACTTAACACTTGTCACATTAACTATCTTACTACACACTTAACACTTGTCACATTAACTATCTTACTACACACTTAACACTTGTCACATTAACTATCTTACTACACACTTAACACTTGTCACATTAACTATCTTACTACACACTTAACACTTGTCACATTAACTATCTTACTACACACTTAACACTTGTCACATTAACTATCTTACTACACACTTAACACTTGTCACATTAACTATCTTACTACACACTTAACACTTGTCACATTAACTACCCCCACTACACACTTAACACTTGTCACATTAACTACCTCACTACACCTTAACACTTGTCACATTAACTATCTTACTACACACTTAACACTTGTCACATTAACTACCTCACTACACACTTAACACTTGTCACATTAACTATCTTACTACACACTTAACACTTGTCACATTAACTACCTCACTACACACTTAACACTTGTCACATGAACTATCTTACTACACACTTAACACTTGTCACATTAACTATCACTCACTACATCACTTAACACTTGTCACATAACTACCTCACTACATACACTTAACACTTTGTCACATAACTACCTCACTACCACTTAACACTTGTCACATTAACTATCTTACTACACACTTTACACTTGACCACCATTAACTTAACCTCACTAACACACTTAACCTTGTCACATTAACTAACCTCACTACACACTAACACTTGTCACAGATTAACAATCTTACTACACATTACACTTGTCACATTAACTATCTTACTACACACTTAACATTGCACATTAATCTATCTTACTACACTACACACTTAACACTTGTCACATTAACTATCTTAACGTACTACACATCTTAAACGACTTGTCACATTGAACACATTACTACACACTTAACACTTGTCACATTACTATCTTACTACCCACTTACACTTGACATCATTAACTATCTTAGGCTAACACTTAACACTTGTCACATTAACTATCTTACTACACACTTAACACTTTTCACATTAACTCATCTTATCTACACACTTAACACTTGTCACATATAAATAATCTTAACTACACACTTAACACTTGTCAATTAACTATCTTACTACAACACTTAACACTAGTCACATTAAACTATCTTACTACACACTTAACACTTGTCACATTAACTATCTTACTACACACTTAAACACTTGTCACCA